CATTTGCACATGCCTCCATGCTTTTCTACGAGATCATGCCCCCCGTGCCTCCACTCAGAGACATGGGTTTGTTGCTTTTGTTCCTTCATTGGTGTCCAACAGAGGTCTTTAGATTTCTTCCTCCTTCTTCGACTTGGCAGATGTGAAGGCATAGTGTTTCTCATGTCGCCTCCCATGTTATCCTTGTGGCTGCAAGGAAAATCTGAGAATTTCTTGTGAAAGCCACTTTGGAAATAATCATTATTTTTTGAATATGACCTACGGCATGTTGGACAACATGGTGGCCTACATGCTACTTGAGTGGCCTTGGGCAATGAATCTGCAAACTGTTGAGGTGGACTAAGCTTGCACACATGCTTTTGCTGTGGCGGCATTGATTGGATGCTTGAATTAGCATCAGGCTGCAATGGCACCAACCTTGCTACCTCTTTTTCTATAGCTTTGTGAACTTCATTGGTAATAAGGTCTTGCAACCTTTATTGTTCAATCTGACTAGGTTGCCCCCCGAGACTGGAAATGACTCCCCTCTTTAGACTAACGACTTTAAAAGGATATTTCACCTTCATCCATTGTCCATAATTGAACTTGGAAGGGCTTCGACCATTAAGAAAGCATGGTCGCCGCGAACACTTCTTAAGCAAGGCTGAAGAAATATGCTCATTAGTCTCAAAAGAAGTAGAAATAGATGAGGTGGATACCTTATCAGATTTATGTATTGATGCTGGCCAAAGTGTTGGCTTTTGTGTAGCAGCATCAGCTTTTTGTCGGCCATCAGATGGACCTTCATTGATCGATGGCTGACATGTCTGCACCTGCGTTGGTTTATGCCTCCCAGGAGTAAGAGGACTATTGCTAGTATTAGTCTTTGCAGACTTAGAATGACTTGGAGGCATACTTGTCGAAGTCGCCTCCAAAGCTGCATGGCGTTGCTGACTTTGGACAGCATGTTGCAATTGTGATTTATGCCCCCCGACTGTGATCATGGGGTTACTCTCTGACCTTAGTGTCGTCTGACCTTCATTTACAATTGGCATCTCTGTCACGTTTTGCGATTTGCAAAACTGCTTCCAAGTTCCTGGAGACGCGGCTGCATGGCACTTCTTTGAATCCTCCATTAAAACCTCACTTTTGGGTTGAGGGGTTTTAAGTTCTGGAAGATTTGATTTGCATACTTTCAAATTTTCCTCCAACCTCCTCAGGCGTTCCTCATGAAGCCTTGTAGATTCCTCAGCAAAATCAGCTATCCTTTCAAAAAGTGATTTGAAAGACTCACTATCAGTTGTTGCCTTCTCATCATAAAGTGGATTGACATAAGAGGAAGCTTGTGGCGGAGTGATGAAAAGCTTCTGGCAATCATCAAAATAAGGACTTGCCATGGTGGCACAATCTAATAATAGAGAATATGACCAACAAACTTGTGAAAGCCCACAGTGGGTCCCACTGGGCGTGCCAAAAAGAGATTGTTGTCTCCAAAATCTCCCTTTCTGGCCGCGTGGCAGATAAGACTGCGAAGGCGTGCCACTCACTTTGCTCAAA